AGTCACCTGTAATCCCAACTACTTGGGAGGCTGAGTCAGGAGAATCGCTTGAACCTGGGAGGCAGAGGTTGCAATGAGCTAAGATTGTGCCAGCACTCCAGTCTGGGCGACAGAGCAAGACTCTGTCTCAAAAAAAAAAAAAAAAAAAAAGGCTTACATTTATAGAATGACATTCTATTTTACAGAACCCCAGTCTGCACAGCTTGCTCATTCATTATATTAAAATCTTTGCTCAAATATGTCAGCTTCTCAGTGAGACCTTCCTTGTCCACCTTATTTAAAATTATAACCCATCTGACCACATGCATGTTTTCCTACCTTCCTTTTCTGTTTATTTTTCTCCACAGGACTTTTTATCATCTAACACATTATATAATTCACTTTTGTTTATTTTCATAATTCCTGTTTCCTGCCACCTTTACCCACTATGTGAACTATACATAGGTAGGCAGAAATTTTTTTTTTTTTTTTTTTATAGAGTCTTGCTGTATCACCCAGGCTGGAGTGCAGTGGTGCAATCTCATCTCACTGCAACCTCCGCTTCCCGGGTTCAAGCGATTCTCATGCCTCAGCCTCCCAAGTAGCTGGGATTACAAGCATGTGCCACCGCGCCTGGCTAATTTTGTATTTTTAACAGAGACAGATTTTGCCATGTTGGCCAGGCTGGTCTCAAACTTCTGGTCTCAAGTGATCCGCCCACCTCAGCCTCCCAAAGTGCTGGGATTACAGGCATGAGCCACCTTGGCTGGCCCATAGGCAGGAATTTTTATCTGTTTTGTTTTTTTATGTGTTCCTGGTGCTGGAATGGTGGTGTGAGCACACAGTAGATATTGAATGAATACTCCAAAGGGATAAACAATAATACAATAACTCAGGCACTAGATCTCATCCATTTAATAAAAATATAACAGCTGGTTGGGCACAGTGGCTCACAGCTGTAAATGTGCCACTGCACTCCAGCCTGACTGACAGAGACTCTATCTCAAATAATAATAATAATGATAATAATAGCTGACTGCTTCCCAAAAGGAGATTACCCAGCCCTTGAAAAGAATCACAATTCCAAGCTTCCAGTGAAGGTTTTCCCCACATTTGTTATATAAAGGTGACATTTATCCCATTTATCCAAATGTGTCAAGTTTTTTTTTTTTTTTTTTTT